GTTTGACCTCCTAGCAGTCCAGGGGACTCTCAAGAGTCTTCTCCAGCACCACAGTTCAAAGGCATCAATGCCCTGTCCGTCTTGGGTGGCCCTGCACGGTATAGCTCATGGCTTCACTGAGTTACGCAAGCCCCTTCGCCACGACAAGGCAGTGATCCATGAAGGGGATCATATTTCTGACAGCATATAAAGTCACGCATCTAGGTAAGAAAAATGAAAGACACATGTACAGGATGGGGAAAATCTGTCTTAAGAACAGACCATGTGAGAAGGAACACATGTTGAGCTAGTGGATCACAAGTTCAACATGTCCCAACAGGGCAATACAGCTGCAAAGAAGGCCGATGGCACCTTGAACAGCATCAAGAGAAGCACAAAGTCCAGATTGCAGGAAGTGATTATCCCACTTTACTGTGTCTTGATTGGGCCTCACTTGTGTTCAGTTCTGCACACCCCAGTTTAAAAGCGACATTGATAAACTGGAGCAAGTCCAGAGAAGGACTATCAAGATGGTAAAAGGACTACAAAGAATGGTTAAAAGTCCTAGATACGTTTAGTTTGCAGAAGAGAAAGTTGAGAGGGGACATGATAGCTGGCTTCAAATATCAGAAGGGCTGTCACATTGTAGAGGCTTCGGACTTATTCTCACTTGCTCCAGAGGGCAAGATTAGAACTAATGGGATGAAACTTCAAGGATGTAGATTCAGATTAGACATGAGGAAGAACTTCTTGACAGTAAGAGCTGTCAATCAGTGAAATAGGTTACTGCATGGAATGGTTTCTTCCCCTTCACTGGAGGTTTTCAAACAGAGGGTGGATAATCATCTATCGGGGATGGTGTAGTGAATCCTGCAGTGTGCAGAGGGTTGGGCTTGATAACTTCTTAGGTCTCTTCCAACTCTATGATTCTCTGAATTTCCCAGATCCTCTTTTCAGACTCCCAAGAATGCCAGCTTTACATGTTTTAAAAGTCATGATTTCATTTTCAGGGCTGCAAAGGTAATTCTCACTACACAGTGGCATAAATTTACAGCATACGTCTCATAACCAAATCAAGTTCATTATGGACTGCCGATAGGATGGCCATTTATAACTAGAAGAAATAGTTTGAAATTCTTCTTATAGTTCAGCCTTTCTCATCCCATCACGTTTTTCCTTCAATCTATGACATACTACAGTTCTCTTGGGACCTTTGCATGTAAATTTAGTTAATGCAAAACAGGTATGGCTGCTTAATTCTGAGTGTTGCAAAACCAAATTCATTTTTGCTAAAGCAAATGTGTACTTGTACAGAAAAAAAATCAGTGTTATACATCTCTTTATCAGTGAGGAAATTAATAACTACTCTGAAACTTAGATTAGGATTCAGGCACCTGATTTTAGACTCGGTATTTTTAAAGTGATATAAACAAACACATTTAATAAATATGGATTAAAATCATCCAAAAGGAACATAAAACAGTAACTTTTGAAAATCATACTCTGTTTTACATAAGCAGTTCTAAGTATTTAGGTTAACATCCTCTGGCCATAGCAAAAAGCCCTAACTTACTTGGAAGTAGTTGCTCCTCCAATCAGCAAAGGAATCCTTATTTCTAGTCTCTCCATTTCCTTAGCAACAAATATCATCTCATCCAAAGATGGAGTGATAAGACCAGACAGGCCAATTATATCTATTAAATATAAATGGTTAAATATTTCCAACTTTTCCTCTATGATTTCAGAGTCTATTTAAACATTAAGACAAAAATACCATCCAGTTGTTAAATGAAGCCATGGATCTGACTTAGATCTTTCTCCTAACATTATGTAGCTATGGATATCATCCTGGACATTCAGCTCATGGGAAATGGATATAATTAGGATATCTAAATATCTCAAATGTCTATGTTGAACACAACACTGTTGTCTTTTTAACACCAGACAATTATAACTTCTTTCAGGTCTTTTAATATATAGGTAATCTTATTTGAATTTTAACTTCGTTTTTAAATCACCCTAGATATTTTGGTGAAAAATAACACAGACCCCTTAAATAAATAAAATAAATTTGAATTCTATAAGCTGGCTACACTCTTACAGGGTAAAGTAAATCACTGCACTGAGATTGAAGGGGGAAAAAAACCCACATCCACCAACAGACTACTTAATATCAAATCAGACTTTTTATCCATTTTTTTTTCAAATTTACTGTCTCCCTATTTTTCTGACAAATCCTAATTCATTTTAAGACTTCTGTTTTCAAAAAGAAATAGATATATCAGTTATCACCTTGGTTTACATTTTCTTAGTGAATTTAGTGAGAATTAGCATTTGAAGATACATGTTTTAACATAATGCAAATATATGCTGGAGACTCCATGAAACTGGACAAATACAAACCAAATATTCTTGTACCTGCTTTGTTTTCAAGAGCAGCTTTAAGTATCTTGTCACATGGTGTCATAACTCCCAAATCAATAACTCTGGGGGAGGAAATGGTAGTTTGCTAATCAACATGCACATATGCTCAATTAATCCAATTCTGTTATAGTGTACAAGAAAGATCAATCATCCTGGGAGGAAGCTAAAAAGAACAACATTTGGCTTGTAATCTTCCCTTATACCTGAGCCTTCTTGTATCACACCTGCCCCATTCTTAGTTGTTACCGCACTTGCCTGAGTGTATGTCACACTTTCTATTAAGTCCAATGACTTCTTATTTAAGAACAGACAATTGAGAAATTAACTTCTTGGGCAGTAATACTGCCACTGAGCATTTCAAGATTTATTATTGTTCTGCAAATCCTGAGGTCCTACTAACTTTGACCTATGAGCAGGCTATCCAGTGTCCAGACAAAAGATCCCAGATTAAATGCATATCTAAATATGCTGAGTTAGGGAGCAACTGAATCGTTTCAAATCAGCCACGTACTGTGATCAAGTTTCTGCAGAGCTTTTATGCAACTACACTTTATATTTTACTCCAGGCGGTTCTCGAAAGCAAGTTTAAGACACTTGATGCCAAAAGCTTCTGCCTTTGTTTTGATGGAACAGTTGACTCACTGGCCCATGTTTTTATCATCCTGTTTCTTATAGAGATTCATGCAATAGTTTAATAATGCCTGTTACTAAATCTTTTCCTGTGTGAATAGACAAATGTTATGTGTACCACCTTCTGTCCTTATCCCTACCTACCAGGAAAAAAATGCTTTCTGGCAGAACTGCTCCCAGAAAGCTAGCACTTCAGCCAAATAATTAGATATCCCACTTGCAGGAGACAATTCTAGCATGTCAAATAATTACAGTACAAGGAGGGAACTGCAAGATCAAAAGGTCTAATCTCATTACCTGAAATTATTACAGCCCAGAACTACTCCCACAATGTTCTTGCCGATGTCATGAACGTCACCTTTCACAGTAGCTAACACAATAGTGCCTTGATAAGGATCCTGCAAAAATTAAGCCATTTTCAGAATGTATGTAGACTTCATTTTTGAGCAATTCCTATCGTGTTGCAACAACTGTTACATTCAACTATTTAAAGCAGAGATAAATCCATATGAATCATGTAACAGAAGTTGTTTATTTTGTTGTCTGAATAAATGGTTTACTTAATTCAGCTAAATCACAGGATGGCAATTCTCCAGAGGTCAAAACACCCTGCCCCAAACCACTTTACAACTTGGAAGAAAGCCCCAGCTGACAGACACAATGTAACATTTAATCTACACAAGACACGGCATGATGATCAACAGAACGATGAGAAAGACTGCTCTGGTGCCACTGGAGCCCATTTCCCTACGTCAGTGGGGAGAACCAGTATGATGTAATGGTTAAAGTCCTCCTCTGCCCCCAGAGCAGATAAGAGAAGGGCTGTCTGTAGAACTACTTCAGCAGAAGGGAAAGCTTGGAGAACTGGGTGGGCCTGGACCTTTGAAAGACCAGCTACTGACTCTTGGGCAGAGGAGCTGCTCCTGAAGTGAAAAGGATGCAGCAGTGAAGGAAAAAGGCAGGCACAGCAGTCAGCTTAGTTGGAGAGGATGGTGGCTTCCAACCTTCCCTGACTAACTGTGACAGTAGGGAGGACTCCCCTTCCGTCCCCTTCTCTTCCCCTCCACCTCCAACAGCTAAGGAAGTAAGCCTCCCACCTCAAAGGATGCCTGTTTTCTAATGATGGCCTTGGCCCCAGGACTGGGCATTGCTGAGCTTATGAACGGGCCCTCCCCTCCCTTGTTACAGTCCACAGTGAATGAAGACCAAAAGCGAGAGGAGATTTGTGCATGTGTATGTGTAAGCAAAGATTGGTTTGGAAGAGAAGCAGTAAAGAGCAGGAACAAGGGAATCACTGTTTACAAACAACTGATTTGCAATGAACTGTATGTTATATTTATTTGAGCTGGGCTATTAACTGTAGAACCTGTTTTGGGTGGGAAATAATCTTTCTTAGAGTGTTAAAAACAAGAAGAAGAATATGTCTGCTATCTTAAGACCCTGCCTTTTTTTCATCTCTTTTATATAATGAACTTCAATATAAATTTGGTCATGGCAACCATCTTCTGACCATCATGCTGCCACAACCATCATTTTGTGAATATATTGTGCCCATAAGAACAAAAAACTGGGAATACTTGGTTAGTGGCTACAGCAGATATAGACAACCTGTGTCCCACATGTTTTGGATTATGACTATGACTCTCACTAGCTCAATCAAGGCAAATGATAAAGATTGTGGAATTACAGATTAAACCATCATAAGAGTGCCAGATTGTCAACTCCAGACCAACCAGACTTGGAAAATCTTGGACTGAAATGTTCCCCGGCCATAATGTTATCTTCGGTTTGTCATTATGTCTCAACTTAATTGTTCTTAAGGAGGAACATAAGAATTAAAAGCATCATATAAATATATTTTAAAAGATCTGCCCTCTAGCAAGGAATCACAATGCATCCTGGGCAGTTTGCTGCAGCTCCACAGACCACAATGTGAAAAATACATTCATTTCTTCAATCCATTAATTTGATCCTTATGGGAATAGAATTTAACAAATATTACTCCTGTGGGAGTCAGGCTTTCTGAATACAAAAATCTGTTTTGTTTTGTTTTTTTAATTTACTTTTGACAGAATGATAGAACATGGCCTCAGCAAAGGAACTATTTGTAAAAAGGCATCTTTCAGCAGCACAAATGACTGTGATTCAAAGAAAAAAAGTAGATCAGGGCATTGTACCACAGCCCTCTCCAACCTGGTACTTTCCATATATGTTGGAAATGCAACTCCCAGAATTCCTAGCCATAATGGAGAAGGCAGCCTTAGCATTTTCTCTACTAGAGCCCCTACGTCTAGGATCCCATGTTCCTCTACTGACTTCTTCAGTGAATATTTTCATATAAATGTTTACACCGTTATATTAATTTCTTCAAGGCAAAGGCATTTCATTAAACTACGCACGACAGTGGCATATCCATGCCTTTAAACCTTGTTTCTGCTCATTTATGAAAAAAAGTAAGTGCTACAGAGACCAGTTTTAAAAAGAAACAGAGGCACACACATCAGTCTTTGCCTCTCTTTTAGCATACCATATTTTGCTAACGTTGGCATGTTTTTCTCAACTGGGTGGAAATTCTAGCAAGAGATTCAGGGAAAAAGTCACCATGTCTGCATAACTTTGGCTCTTTAAATCAGTGCCCTGCACAGCTTTCTACTGATTGGAGCATAGCTGGTTTTCAAAACAAAGAGGTACACAACCCAGATGTTTAACTTGCATCGGGGGCATCCATGGGAGGAAGTCAACAGCATAAAAATGGCATGCACAACCAGGTTCTCAAAGCTCTGCTCCTTTTAAATATATGTTGCATGCATCACGTGTACATAAAAATATTCCAACTTCACCCTAACCCTAACCCCTAAAACCCCCTTGTTATAATCAATCTTTAAGGTAAACAAAAGCTTTGATGGCTGAGGGCTTCTGCATTACTATGATGCTTAAGTTTTTCTATCTTCTTAAAACATAGCAGAGTCTGGGGAGAATGAACATCCAGAATATGCCACAGTATTGCACTATCTGGTATCGTTATGAATTACATTCATGAAAGCCTGCGTGGCTGGAGCAGAAGGGCACACTAATTTAATCAAGCTGGAAAAAAAAAAGTCAGAGGAGAATAGTCAAGCAATAATTACAGACCCAATTGCTAGGGGAATCCTAAGACTGATGGGAATGAGAAGAAAAAGACTGGGCTGCTATGTGGACCAGTGCATACATTTACTCTTAAGACACCTTCAGGATAAAAACAAGATGATTTCTATCATTAAATGATCTGGAGCAGACTAATTGGGAACAAGACCAAATAGCTTTCCTCCTCAGTCCTGGCACAAGCCTCCAGCAAACCCATCCATTCTGAAAGATAATAACCAGTGTTCTATATTTGCTGTTTTTCTGGCACTACAGTGAGTATTCTGGGAGGTAACTGCACTCCGGAGAGCTTCTACACCAGGAGATATGTACCTCATTTTGAGACAGGACAGCAGCAAGCATCCCAATGATAAAACTCATATTCAGGAGCCAGCAGACTCCTCCCCCGACACACGCACACACACGCACACACTTCCCCATCCCTCTTTATTAGAATAGCAGCACTTAGCATTTCCAAAAGTCTGCCGTATATACCAACTATTAGTGAGTAATAATACAGGACTGGCCTAATTCCATACTGATTTACACACTTTCCCCTTTTTAAATAAACATGTGGCTGTGAAATAAATACATCTTAAAGCTAGTAAGCTTCTTGATTGTTGTGTTTTCCACTCAGCGTCCTGCCTTACCTCATTTCACTTCCTTCCCAAATGCCAAAGACAGCATAAAATTCACAATTTGTTCTTAAATCAACCCAGCCTTCGCAACAATTTGAAGTACAAGAACAACTGCTGTTATTTCATTTTTTCATGCCTGCTAGGAATGAAAAAAATCTGCTACAGCACAAAGTCTCAGGTTTCTTCCAGCCCCGTGATTGCTTCCAATGAGCAGCTAGACATTAGCTTGACAGATGCTTCCTAAGACAAGAGGCTGCAGAGCATGGAAGTCCAAGGATTTAGTTTGCTCTGCCTTTGGAAGTGAACCAATCTGATTCACACCTCCCAAATGAATTTGCATTTCTCCAGAATTCAGTTTTCAACCTCAAAACTGTATCATGTTATATATCAAACCACAAAATGCTTTTAAAACAAGTAAGAACAATGCAGATTTTTTAAAAAGAAAAATGCCAATAAACCCAGAAATAAAATGGCACGGACTTACTAATGTATTTACTGACATGGACCCCAAAAGGTCTGATCCATCCATCTCTTCTGTGCTGATTAACTAGGACTGTCTAGTGACAATTAGCACCCTTTTGCTCCACACCTTTTTGCTCAGAAACTGTAGTCAGGCTATATGAGATTGTACCGGTAAGCAATCCGCAAATTAGCTTGTAAAACTAAGGGGAGAGGTACCAAATGGGAAGAAGGGTGCACAGAAGCAAAGCTGGCAATGGAGACAGACCACATCATTGGAAAACTATATTACCGAAAATGATGGAGAAAAACTCAGCTCAACCCAGAGAGTCAAAAACTGTTCTTGCTACTGTTATTTTTTTTGTCTGTTGAACACTCATCCAATTAAGTATCAGGTTTATGGTTATGGATCCCTACATAGCACCGCATACTATCGCTCTGTTTGTTTTATTGGCAAAATATCAAATGGACAATTTTATGTTTTCCAATCAGCTGCCCATTTCTGTGACTGAGAGCTTGTATAAGAGGATCTATTTATTGCAGAAGTTGCTGCTGTGATATGCCATCAATTCCTGCCCCACACAAAAATCTATAATGCAACTGCAGCAAAAATTAATTTAAGAGAATCAAGCATTGGAGTTGCAAACTTGCCTCTTCCTCCATATTACCAGACAACGCACGTATTTCCTCTCTTTCCTTCTCCATGAATGGGATAAGATGACCAACAGCTTTCTTCATAACTCTAGCGGATTTAATCACCTGTACAATCAGATTCAGGGAAAGAACCGTGATAATGGTCAAAAATAAGTTTATTCAAGAGTATATTGAAAGCAAACAATACCAGCTGCCAAAAAACAGGAGGTTATCAATAAATGCCAACTAAGTAACTCCTCTACCAGTTTCTCCATTTTCTGTCAATTTAGAGAAACTCTTCCAATGGATCACATTGATATGGTGTCACAAATCCAACACAAACCTATCCTGGTGGATTTATTGTTACAGTGGGTTGCTGGTCAAGCAAAGTACACTAATGCTTGCAGCCCTCCAAGACCCGCTGCCTGCCTAAATAAAGTGAGCCGTGCTACAGCTTCAACCCACATCTGCAAAGCTGCATCTGCTTGCATTGCACTGTGTACAAAAGACTACTGCATTAAATCTAACTATTAAACCTAAAAGCTAACACATGAAAAGAAATAACCAATTGTGAACATATTGTCAATCAAGTATAAACAAATACAAAAAGGGACTAAACTAGCCCATGCACTAAGATACAGCTTTATCTGCTGGCATACATCGGGGTATTAGAGGTTGTTTTAATTATATGTCCAATAAGCCACTAACCCAGAAAGCAGTTGTTATCCATTCTGGGCAAGTGGATGAAGAGCTATCTTTACAACTGAATGTAAGAACAGCAATAATCATTAGTAAGAATGAAAATAAAATAATACCCGTTTTAATGTACAGGGTATCTCTAGTATTAGAGCACATGCTTTCATACATAAGGTCCCACATTCAACCATCTCATCTCCATTACTAAAGGATTGTTTGCAGCAGGTGACACCTAGCCAGTATTAAGAAAAAACCTAATCAGGATCAGACATAGTTAATACTTAGATGGGAAGAAATTCAAGAACTATAAGCTAGATCTGGCGGACTGCCAATAGGGGAAATCCTAGGACTATAAGCTAAGCAGGGTTGAATGTAATTAGTACTTGGATGGGAGACCATTAGGAAATCTAAGGGCTATAGACTAGCACTTGCATATTGTTACAAAGAATGCTACATGGATGTAGCAAGGATTTCCAATTTATTCATTCATTCATTCATTTTATTTAAGATTTGTATGGCCGCCCATCTTAAACACAACTCTAGGCAGCTCACAACAACAATATAAGTGTAAAAGGATAAAAACCACAATCCATAAAACCAAAACAAAACCCTCCCAATTGTTTAACAGGAGCAGCCATATTATTTGTTCCTACTCTCAGCTCTCCATTAAAGGAAACCAGAAATTTCAGTGGAAGGACTGTGAGCCACTTCTGGTTTTGATACTTCAATCAAGTTCCTGGGTTCAGAATTCTTTCATTGTAAAGGAATGTCTTTTCCATAAGACTTAACTAGTGAATCTTGGGATGTGAAAATGTGTGTGTGTGTGTGTAAGCCACTACAACCTCAAGAGAGCTGTTGCCAATCAGAGTGAACTGTACTGAGCTAAAATGGACAAACAGACTGTCCTGGTATAAGGCAATCTCCCATATTCTACTATAACATCCTGAAGCACTAAGAACCAGACACTGATCCTCCCTCAAGCCAAAGAAAGCATTGGTCCAAACTGGTGGAATCTTTAATTACACAGATAAATTGTGATAGGCTAGTGGAAACATCTTCTTCTTTACCTGAGGAAGAAACATCTTGCCAGCTCCAAAAAGATCACCAACTATTTTCATGCCATTCATCAGAGGCCCCTCAATTATATTCAGGGGTCTGGGATACCTCTCTTTGTTTTGTCTAGCCTCTTCAGTATCCTCAATCACATATTTCTCAATGCCCTGGAAAAAAATCAACAATGTGAACATTAAAGCAGTTTATATCTGTGCACAACAAGCATCATTTATCTACTGCATTTACAAAAGTGGGGCCCTCAAGGACATTTTGGAAAAGAGACTATAGTAATTTCAGGATGCTAAAATAGGCTAATAATACCAAAAGCTGAATTCAAAACTAAACCTACAAAATAAGTAAAGTAAAAAAAACATCAGGGATAAAACATACTAGTAGCATCAATTCATGGTGAAAGCATAAGAGGCAATGTTTTCAAGCTTTTTCTAAAATAATCCTGAAGGAGCCTGGCAAAGGAAAAGAGGAAAGCCATTCACAGGCAGGATGCCTCCTCATTATCTCACTTCCAAAAATTGTGCATGGGTATTCTGAAAAGGATCTCTGAGTTAAGTTTTAAAATAGATAGGCTGTTCTTGAAGTACCCAGAGTTACACTTCCTTTTTCATATTGGCAGCTTCTGATCTGCAGAGTGCAATTAACAGCAAAGAAAAAATTAAGCAAAGGGAGTCTTTGTTTACTTTGTTTCAACTGTGAAGCCCATTCTGACTTTCACTGCATATTGTTCAGAATTTTCAATCAGTTACTAGCATAATCTGCAGCTGGTTTCCACCTAGTTGCAGCCTTGTCTCAGGTGAACCTCCATTTTTCATTACAAGGTGCTGATGCTTTGAAGGGGCTCTAGATCTAAGCCTGCCAGCATGCACAGAATTCTGGGAGTTGAAGTCCACACATCTTAAAGTTGCCAAGCTTGAAAAACACTGTTCTAGATCTAAACCTGTAAGAAATAGGAATAGGCATTTATTTTCATTTTTCAAGAGAAGTCCTGCTGATCAAGAACCCAAATGGGCCATTTGAAGCCTACTGTATTTCTCAATCCATCAGGAACAAATCCTGGAAAGCTGAACCCTGACAGCATGACAGGCTTGGACTGGCACTCTCCAGCAACTTTCCCTTAGGATCAAACCTAGTCAAGGAGGCAACGGAACAAATTTTAGCTCACCAAAAAAGCAATAAATTCACCTTAACAAGGGCATACTCCAGTCTTTCTTCTACAGATCCATTTCTCCATCCATCAGTCTGCACCACTTTTTTTCCTCCTTGAGCATGAGTCTGGAACAAGATTAAGAGAAGTTAAAAAGAAATCTGAGAAGTTAAGGGAAAAAAGGGGGGAGGGAGGAAAAGTATATGCATTTGCCCTTCCACCACCGATAAACATATTGATACCATCTTCCCACAAGTGGAGAACTTTAACCCACTATTCACCCTGTAAACGGATTCTTTCCTCATCAGATAAGACAGCCTTTTTGTCTCAGTGCTTGAAAGGTCCTTTAGGCCAGAGGTTCTCAAACATTTTGGTCTCAGGACCCCTTTACATTCTTAAAAATGACTGAGGACCCCAAAGAGCTTTGGCTTATGTGGGTTATATCCATCAATATTTACTGCATTAGAAATTAAAACTGAGAAATGTTACAGTATTTATTTATTTGACTTCACAGACCCCCTGAAAAGGTCCGGGGGACCCCCAGAGTTCCCCAGAACACACTTTGAGAACCGCTGCTTTATCCCATTAAAAAGACATAAATTTAACATAATCCTAGGACAAAGAGAGATGGCTTTCTTCAGCTTCTTTGTCACTTTCAACTCTCAGATTCTTTCTACACTTCCGCTAAAGTGAAGTGTAGAGAGTCAGGGAGATGACCTTGAGGGAAACTGGCAAGAAGCATTACATAAGCAAAGAAAGCTGAAACATTCTTCAAGTCCTGGGAAACAAGACAGTATTCAGAAGAGACCCTGTTATTATAGCTTATCTCAATAAAGTATTGTTCTAGCCTTCCTATGGAGTCAGGTTTCATGTTCTAGTCTACTTTGTATGGCTGACATGAAAACACAAACAGTATGTTATACTTGCCAATACTATATTCTGCCACCTAGGTAAATGTAAGGTTTACCCCGTTCCTCTCAGAGAAACTCTCGTGACACACGTGTTCAGCAAAGAAGTTTACTCAAGCGTAACGTAAGTAAGTACAGGCAAAGCCAGGATTGGCTTGGCACATTTTACAACACAATTTATAGTTCCCCTGTTCCCACGCTTAGCCCATTGCTTGGTTACAGATTACCTGCAATAATCCCCCCTTCACTCAAATGGCAGATTCAGTCCAGTTTTTTTGTGTTCTGGATTGCTTTCTATCAATGGCATTGTTGTTGTTTTCGTTGGGTCTTTCTGTTGCGCACAAAGCCCAGAGTTCCCAATCGCGCGCTGATTGCTTTACCTCTAATCCACTGCTCTCCCCTTTGTCCGCAGCACCCGAGGCAAATTGGTGTTGACACAAAGTATCCGCTTGTGGTTTAGTTAAGCGGCACCAGCTGGCCCATTAATCAGTTCGCGGTTTCTCACTTCCCCTTCTCCTCTGCTAGCGCTCGGGCAGTGAAACTGACTAAGCGCGGCTGGGCAAATCCCTAGCCATGCCAGCTGAATCTGACAGTAAATACATACTGTTTTTGTATAAACAAGATATCCAATATGTCACTTCAGCTCCAAAAAGCTTTTTGACTGAACATATATTTAGCCACTTTATTTTATGCCATGATTATGGCTTGGAGGCTCAGAAACACTGAAAAAAATAAGCAAAGTGCAGGGTGGAAAGACTGTTCACCTCAGCATTATATGATCAAGAACCCTGAAAAAATCAAGGTCACGTTGAGGCATCTCTTATATTCAACTGTACGGAAGAAGCTTCTTGCAGATCAGTGCAAAGTTTTTGAAGATCTTGAGACAGGGTTGGCATGGGCACTTCATTACGTAGCATAATCTGTTCATATTTCACACTTGAATACAGATAAACAGATACTTGCACAGTGGAAGGTGGGTGAAATGTATATGCTTTTGCATTGGAGTGTTCTGGACTACAGGTAGTCACCCCATTATCAAATTGACCAGTGTCTAGAAAATTCATGCCTAATGAAAATCTGACACAACCTCAGTTTCATGTGCTCTCCGGTCTTACACAATCATGGCATATGTATAAGCTACTGTACACATGTGAACACAAATGGCTGCTGATTGATTCCAGAAAGATTTTGTTTCTAAAAAAGGTAAGACAGCAAAACATAAATATTCCATCAATAGGAATAAAAAATGCTGAAAAAATTGGAGCTTGGGATTTTTATTCCTGCTCATATAATTTAAATCTCCCCAACCAGTCTAGCAGCAATTATTTTTTAAAAATCTAATAGCTTGGCTTTAGTACTGTCCCTCTTGGTGATAGTTTATGTTATGTCACGTAATGGATCGCTAGTGATTCAAACACTATTCTGAACTAGAACGTGCCCATCAGCTTAAGAGAACAAACCACCCCTTTCTACTCTGCTCTGCAATACTATCCCAGTCTCCTTGCACTTGAAATATGTTATTTTTTAAAAAAATTAGATTACACAAATGCGGTGTGGTCCGTGGAGCATGTTAACAAATTCCAGATCCAAATGCTAGTTATTTTCACTAAATAGTTACATTGGCAAAATTGCTCTTTCCCCAGTATTCTCCTTGTACAATGAGAGCAACAACTACTCTAGAGGTGAATATGTGTAGCTCAGGATTGAGCTGTGGAGTCCTTGGGGTTCTCTGAGCTTGGTTCTTTTCCTGCAAACGTTTCCTTATCTGGCTAGGTAACATCTTCAGTGCTGGAATGGAATGGGGTTTGCTCTCTGTTTATATACTCTGGCATGCCTTGCCAGTGCTGGTGGGGGTTTTGTTTTGCTCCTCTGGTAGTTCCTTGATTAGGGTATTGTTTACTGCTTGATTGTGTGCCTGGTGGTAACCTCTGCTTATCTGGTAATGATTGCTGGTGAGAAGATGTTCTGGTCTTTTGTTTTCTTTTCTATTGTCTCTTTTGAATAGTGTGTAGATGCCATTTATCTCTGTGCGTCTGTTGATTGCTGCCTTGTCTGAATACCAAGCTTCCAAGAACCAAGCTCAGAGAACCCCAAGAACAACTACTCTGTCTGCTTGGGTGTTAAGGACAAAAAACCCCAGGATTTGTACACATGTAAGGTATGCCACAAATGAATATCCTCCTCCCAAAAAGACAACACTGCTCCATGTCCCAACCCTCCCCTTGCCTTCTTTTTCTCTCTCGCATCTTTTTTTTTCTTAGACTTTTTATCCCATCTTATTTTTTATAAATAACCCAAGGCAGCGAACATACCTAATACTCCTTCTTCCTCCTATTTCCCCACGACAACCCTCTGAGGTGAATTGAGCTGAGAGAGAGAGTGACTGGCCCAAAGTCACCTAGCCGACTTTCATGCCTTTGTGACTTACTGCTCTTTATTAGAAATTCCAACATTTTAAGGTTCCCAAATGCAAGGAATGCAATTAGGATCTCCCTGCAGATGTTTATCTCAAATATGCACAGCTGGGGATTCAGAAGGCCGTGGCTTTTGAGGATGCTGGCATGGAAAAAGATTATGGGGCCACTGCTATTACAATGGAGCGTGAATTTGTTCATACTCAACTCTGGAACATAACAAGCGAACACACGTCTTATTAAGAAACAGCTCGTACGCTTGCACGTTAATAGCAAACAGCAGATTTTGTTATTCCTACTCTATTAATTGTAATTGTCCTGTTTTTCTTTTTTTTTCTATCTTTTATATTTTCTCCTATTTTTCCTTTGTTGTTTTAATAAAGAAATAAGCAAAAAAAAAAAGTATGCTCTAATGTATACTCTGAAAAGAAAATGTGCTTCTTGTGATATTTATCTATGTATTTTTGTAAATTATACTTCTATCTTGTTTTTCCTTTTGGAAAAGCAGAAAAGGCCAACATTTGTTCCTGGAATCACTCTAGTCCAGTATGGTTTGATATAACAGGCTTTTTTAGGGAGGGGGGGAGCAAGGGGGCATTTGGGGGTACATCTATGTAAACAAACCAAATAATTTAAGAACAATTCACAAAGCAATTTTTCAGTCTTTCAGCATCCACATGTAAAAGTTAAGTTGTGCATGTTAAAAACAATTTAGGCAAAAAATAACCTGAGCATAATGCAAAAGCTTTTCTGTTGCATCTGGATCTTTATTCCAAATCAAATCTTCACACAACTGCAAAAGTTCCTTATGGATGTCATCGTATACTGGCAGATTTCCCGCATTCACAATCCCCATGTCCATTCCGTACTGAGAATAAACACAGAAGGAAAAAAAAAAAGCACAATGGATATTACAACTTCTACCACAGTATTTTCTGATCAGAAACTATTTTGCCCAAACCATCACATTACCTTAATTGCATGGAAAAGAAAAACGCCATGCATTGCTTCTCGAATAGCATCCATTCCCCGGAAGGAGAAAGACAAATTCGAAAGGCCTCCACTTATTCTGGCTCCAGGCAAATTTTCCTAACAAGAGAAGTCCCAGCAAGGTAATGAAACTTTATAAAGCAAAGATACCAAGAATCGCCTGGTCACTGGAGAAACAGCACAAAAGAACACATACAACTAACATGATCTGGCTGCCACTTAGGTTACTGGCAGGAAGAAAACCACATGACAAATAGGAAAAAAAATCTCTTTGACCAAAAAAACATTCATCTCAAGACATAGCCTATCCCATGTTCAAAGCAGTTTGTCTTGTATATCTTCCTATGACTATAAAAAATAAAACACGTGTTGGAATTTTGTCTTTACTTTCTTCTCTTTTTGAGTATTTTCATTCTGTTGTGAAAAAGTCTAAGCGTTCTTCAGAACTAGAGCTGAGGAGTCTACCAATTACGCCACAGACTAATTTCTTATTCAGTTTCTTTAGAGGCACTCTTATTCCGAACCTATCCCACTGGTGCCAGATGCTTCTGTATGAGACTGAGCAGCCCAAAGAGAAGAACATTATAATTGGACACCAGAGGACTGTGGTTCAACCCCATCCCAAGGAAGGCCGTATCTTAGCACTGCATAACTTCAAGAGAGAAGATTAATTCATTGATTGCTATCACGTCTGCCTAAAACATGAAAAAACACAATGGGAAGTGTATACATTATGTATACTAAGAAGTTATGCACACATATTCTTTTCACTCAAGGAGGCTCATTGTGTATTATAGTCTACGTATGGGCAATATGTTAATTCATTTCTAAAAAACTTTTTCAAAGCTTGTGAAACACAATGGCATCCTGAAGAAAGTCATATCCCATTCCTATAATACTGACCTATCTGGTTTGGAGATATAAAGGTAGAGATACTTTTACCCTTTCCTTGTCATTAAGAAAACACTGAGCTATATCCCCCAATAATACAGACATAACTAGGAAATCATATTTTACCATACATTTATGATAATTTAGCATAATATGTACAAATAAAATCTCAAAAATATCCTGTTTACTAGACAAACTCAAAATAGAATCACAGACAGTAATGGAACTTGTGCTAATTGAATGAAGTAACTTTCATGACGCTTGTCAAAGGTCTTTTGGCCAAACTGCCAATTTTTGGCAAATATTGTTCCATTTAATTACTCTAAGTATATATACAATTCAGTTAATGGTCTGGGTTATTTTTCAACAACTATATAATTTATAATAATGTTGCTATTGGACGTAATGCTGAGGAAATTGTACAACATAAAGAGTTGTGTGGTTCCATTTAAGCCACCGCTTTCGCCTCACCCAGCTATGTTTAAAGACCAGTATACAAATGTTTAAAATAAAATCAGTAAATCAGTTTTTAAAAAAGAACCCAAACCCCACCCCCTAGACTTCCTAGACTCACTTTTATTGTTTTAGTTGCATTGATAAAGTTAACTGCATACAAATTATGTTCCTCCATTCCGGTACCTATAGTCAAAATGTTGGGATCAAAAATTATATCACATGGATTAAAGCCAACTTTGTTCACTAGAAGGTCATAGGCTCTGGTGCAGATTGCAATTTTGTCTTTTGCTTCTGTGGCCTGAAAAGACAAATCAAATGGAAGCAAGAAGGATAGTTAGGGTTTTGTTGTTGTTTTTTGGTGGTATATTGTTTCTGTTTATCTAGATTTCTAATATGGCTTTTCTTAGTCTGTTATAATAAATTCATGTTTCAGCAAAGCTCCTGGATTCATGATTCGAAGTTAGTAATTCTTAAGAATAACTGTTCTACGCATTTGTTTATTAAACAAAAAACACTTCAAGAGATGAAATTGCAGAATATTGCAGGATTTATAACATTTTCAGGTACTAAATCCAGTCTGAGACCAAGGTTGCCACTCCAGTACTAAATCATCCAAGCCAAGCAGTCTCATTCTCAACTGACTTTCCCCCTTTTCTGTGCTAGCTAACTAGCAGGACCAATGAAAACCTTTAAAACAAATTAAGTTCCGAAGAGCTGAGGTCTGTTTTAATTCACGTACCATAAAGCAGAGCCAAAGTTCAGTATCGGAAATGCTGTATCCTTTAGGTCCAGATTTCTCACTGTTTTCAAAGAGTTGCATCCAGTGGCTCGATGAGCAGAGGACTATTTGTACAACTGTATTTTCCATCTCTTTTCCCTCTGTCATCCCTGCACCCACTCCAGATGTTTGCCTCTATCCCCCAACTAAGTATAATGTGCCATTCAGGCTGCAATGGTAGAATAGGCAGAATCACTTTAACCAGGGTAAAGAAACTTTGTTAAGAGCTCTGTTGGTATGACTGCAAATCCATCTAATCCAGCGCCCTCTTTTTAAAAGAGGTCAGAACAAAGCTTCTGGGAAGCTAATAATGCACAGCAATAAGGATGCTGAACTAGGCCCCAGAAGACCCAAGTTCAAATCCAGCCTCAGCCCTGGAATGTATGCAGTAACTCTGGGCCAATCGCTATCTCTCAGCCCAATTTACATCACATGGCTTTTGATGTGAGGATAAAACTGAAGGATGACAAGAATGCACTGAGCTTCAGATCCAGAACCAAAAAAGTGCTTCAGAGCAGGTGTGGACACATGCACATTTACTGACACCTCCTTAAAGAAGCAGATTTTTTCCCTGGGCTTGCACAATAGGTGCATGATCACAGGAAAATATGTGTTTGAGTTAAGGATGTACCAACAGGATGCAACAATGTGCTTTGAAATGGGTGTAGGTGCTCTGTTGGTGCCTCTTTAACTCAAGCACATATTTTTCCTGCGAGCCTGCTTCTGCTTCCTTAAGGAGGCATGAGCAGTTGTGGTGTGTCCATTAACACCCCTTCTGAAACACCTTTTCAACTTTGAATCTAAAGCACAGCACATCTGGTTGGTGAAGATGATGGAACTCACTGAGATGGCCAAACTAACTTCTTAGAATCAGTTTGAGAAAAGACAATATCTATATTTACTGCTGACTGGAAACGCCTCATGGACTTTTGCAGAAAACAGAAAAAAATGAACTTATGATTTATGGTTTTGATGATTAGATAGGACAGATTTTAGAAAGAGAGACACCTTGTAACTTTAGAGAAAGAGCTAAATTTATAATTGTACTTATAACTGCTATAAAGAAGATCAGAAGTCACTTCTTTATATCTCCTTTCTTTCTTTTCTGTTTTTCTTTTACTTTTTTTTCTTGCACTTTTAGCTTTCTCTTTGATTTCTTTCTTTTTCTTTTTCCTTCCTTAATTTTTATTAGTTTGTATTAGTTTTTATCTTCTTTTTTAAAACTACTAATAAAACTATTTAAAAAAAAACCCTAAAGGACAGCACATCCCATGTTAATATCTTGAGCCTTCAAGGAAAAGCAGAGTAGAAATCCAATAAGTAGAACTGGCGTGAGTGGCTCTCAGTGATGAGTTTGCTCTCAACACACTCTGCAACCAACTGGGATTCAGAAAAAGGAGGCCTCTGAGACTTGAAGTTTCAGTTAGCTAACGGTGCAGCCAGTAGGTCACCGTGTATTTCACCATATATTCATTTTAGTAAGGAACTTCCTGTCTAATGCCAGCCATAGAGAAGTTAAATTTAGGAGACACACTTATGTTTACTTTGCTACTGACAGTTAATTGAAGAGATTATCGGAGATTCCTCTTCCCAGAATTGTTGCAGTTATTGCTGCATATTATTAATGTGATTTATACCCCACTTTTTTGCTCAAAGGAAAGCTATATTGCTGAGGGAATGCGCATAAGTGGGCAGATCATGACAGGATGGGGAAATGGCTGGGAATGCCATATTCGCTAATCTGAGCCACCTAAATCAAGATAAGGATATAAAAGTAACAAATAAATAATGCTTTGTGATGGCAATGCTACATTTTTTCTTGCTGTCAGTTTTGTGACGCTGGTTTGTGAGTTGATGTTTTATTCTCTTTGTACTATGTTCAGACACTAACCAGCTCAGTGGGTAATTTCAATATTGCAATATAACTGCCCAAATTCATATCTGACCTACTTTGTTTTGGTTCCCTTCTATTCCTTTTACCAGATCACAGATAGGACAAAGGTTCATATGACCTTCTGGACAAACAATTTCTAGTGGGTTGGGAAAGTGTCACCAACCTGCCCCACTTCATCAAAGGCCATAATCACCACTGCTGCTCCGTATCTCTTAATTTTGCTTGCTTTTCTTAGGAAATCATCTTCGCCTTCCTTCAGACTGATGCTGTTCACTATGCATTTGCCTTGAGAACACTTCAGCCCAGCCTCTATGACAGAGAAGTTTGAGGAATCGATGCAAAGGGGCACCTGAGGAAAAAAAGCGCCAACATTAAAATAATAATAAAGATCTTCAGAACCAGTAAATACATAAGTCTGAATTGTGTGGATGCACATCTAAGGCAGAGAGAAAAAGTCTCGCAATTTTAAAGGAAGATCAAACTGTCTCTGTTATTAGATTTACCACATAGGCAAGATTAATTTCTCTCTTTCAGGAGCTTCTTCTGGAAAGCTTTCTGTAGTTATGACATCATTTGGAAAAGATTCTTCCACCTAACAGCAATATTTGCCCAGGGCTGACATTTGGGTTGATGAAGGATGCACAAAAGTTACAGCTGAACACAAAACTCTAAGCAGAGGGGTTTCCTGCCAAGTTCCAAAAAGCTTAGTGTCCTCATTTCAGAATGAAGATCATAAGAAAAACCCTTTCCCCTTTGGTGACAGTTTCCCTCTTGGCTTCTCACAATCAGGGCTCTCAGAAGTGACAGTGAGAACACTAGGACACAAGGCTGCCTGAAAAATAAGGCAGCCAGATTTTTTTGTGTGGGGCAATCTGAGAGCTGAAGTTGGTGCCTTAAGACTTGCAGAGACCAAAACCACCCATTTCATCCCTTAAAAACCTCAACAACTCTTTAAAAAATATGAACTTTTTTCTGTTGTTAGGACACGGATTAAGAGTACCATATGCCTCACCAGGGTTCAATGTAACAATTTCACTCCATAAACCTCCTAAAAACCCATTTCAGACCTTCCCGCTCTGGCAATGTCACGACATCACTGGCCATGACCCCAGAAGTACTCAGAAATTAACAATTAAAAACAAGTTTAATCCCTGACCAAAAAAAAACCAGCGTCTTACTCCTGTTACAGCATTTTGGCTGTACATGGTTCAACCAAATGATTCTTAGTTAAATCAAGATACTTCTTCTGGATAAAAACATTAAAGTTGTCTTGCATGAAGTCAGGCACTGCTACTTCAGATGCATGCAGAGGGGTGTCAAACAGTGTCTGCTCTGGGGGTGGGCAACATAATGTACACAGTGCTCAGCTGATACCTGTGATATTTAGTATTATTTATGGATTTGGAAATCCAGGAGTCAAGAACTAACTTCAAGACCCAGGGACATTCTTAGGAGAGCAAAACACTCAAGGCCAGCACTTCCCTTTGAAAAGAAAACTCAACACTTTATGAGAAGAACGTCACAAAAGCTTTAACTATACCATAACTATCTGGACAGGCAAGGGGACAATAAATTAGTAGCCCAGATGCTTGTAATTGGCGTATGTACTTGATAGCTTCCAATATTACAGCAGTTCAGTCCAGGTCAGAAGCGTGTTGTCTAAATAGAGATGGGCAGCTATATAAATGTGACATATAAATAAATAAACACCATGAAAAGTTTAGAATAATCTTTCTAATGCATTTCTTCTGATTTTTCACTTCCTGTTACCATTTTTCCAGTCAGGCAACCTGCTGATACCGTGGGATATGTTGCAGTCCTAAGACATGTAGAGGACACCAGACTTGAGAAAGCTGACCTATTAAAAGACTATCCAGTTAAATATATAACCTTGGCAATGTCAGGCTCCGAAGCAATGTAGTTGCAGAATCTGGCCATAGCACTTGGCCCATCTAACATTCCATCATCCATGTTGATATCCAGTATCTGAGCTCCCATCTCAACTTGGGCCTTGGCTACACTCAAGGCGTCCTATGTTAAAGGAAAAAAGACATTAGTTCTAACAGAAATGCATATAATTCTCTTTAGTTCCCCCCCCCTTTTTTTCTTACTGTTCTTTATCTGAATGGCTTTGTATTTACTTTGATTATATTGGTCTTATATTTGCTTCTGCATTTTTAGCTAGCTGGTTTAATTGTGTCTGAGGTCTTTCCATTATATTGTTTCCATTGCATAGCCTATAAAATGTGTAACAGTCTATTTACATTTTAAAAATTCTGTAAAATATTTTAGAGCCTGTCATCACAGTTACTGAGATCTGCTTCAACTCTCACTTTTACAAGAGAAATGCTCAAGATTGTGCTTCACATTGTACTAAAAACAGCTGTATTTATATAATACACCTAGTAGAAATTATGCATTCAAATTCTTACATGGTAGGCCTGTACAAAATTTTAATGCCAGTCCTGAAGCTTAAAGAAAGGTGAACTTACTTCATATTTGCCTGCCATTATCAGTTTGGCAAATCTCCTTGATCCTGCAACATTGCAACGTTCACCAATGTTAACAAAGTTGGTGTATTTCCCAATCCTGAAGGGCTCCAGACCTTGAAAACAAGTTTTATGTATGTCATACAAGGGAAGAAAAGAATACTTCTCTGAAAAACCAGAATACACAGTTTACTCAATCTACACAGAACCTTTCACTTTATGAAAAGGTCTCCTTATTTGAATGTGTGTGTTTAACAGATCTTTCCTGCTGGTCTATGCAGTCTGACTGGAGAAGAGGACCTTTAACTCCCCTTGCAATGATATAATGTGGCGATACCACAGAGAAGTATAGCAGAATCCATTTTGCAAATAAACAGCAACTGCATAAAAACATACCTGATTTAGATGGAATATGTCTGCAGCACTCTATGTCTACAGCAGACTTACAACAAATGGATGAATGAGCAAGGAAGTGGCAAAAGAGAATGAGATCCTATCCCTTCAGACTCATCATTACACAGGTGGGTTGCTGTTGTTGTTTTGGTGTCTTCAAGTCAGTGTTGACTCCCGCTGGCTGCCTGGACAAGTCCCTACAGTTTTCTTGGCAAGATTTCAGAAGTGATTTGCCATTGCCTTCTTCCTAGGGCTGAGATAGAGTGACTGGCCCAAGGTCACCCAGCTGGCTGTGTGCCTTAGGCAGGAGTAGAACTCATCGTCTCCTGGTTTCTAGCCTGATGCCTTAAACAATATACCAAAAGTGGCTCTCTACACAAACATACAGGAAATAGTTAGTTTTATTCTAAACATATCCACCATTTTCACTGGGCAGCCCAAAATAAAAATTCATTCCAATCACGAATGTTGAAAGAGAGAATCTCCATTAGTCCAGGAACTGGTCAGGGCACAGGAACAGCCACGCATATCAGACTCAGTGGCAGAAAACACATGGCAAACCACTCTGCCACTAGAGTAAAAAACTTGTCTTCTTCACAGATGATCTTCCAAGGCTATAGAAAAATGTTTAATACAGGAATCTCAAATGAAGTGAAGAAACAAGCATCTACAGATAAGAATCACATCAAGAGGGGGAAAGAAAAGGGGCTGGGAAGTGTGTGTGTGTACGCACATATGTCATCACCAATAGGCACAATTATTATTAACTTAGTATTGTACCCTTCCTCCAGTGAACTCAGTAGAGTATAGAGGGACACTGTTTCAGTCTTAAAGTTAGCCAGGGCATTTTGTGAATGAATACATCCAATCTTTGTCTACTACCACATATTTAACTATGCTTTTTCCCACAGTCCCTGAGGACATAGGAAAAGTGAAAACTAGTTCAAAATTAGCACTAAGTGGAATTTAAGCCTATACAGCATTTCCCACTGACTCTAAAATCTCAAAATTCAGACAGGCTGCTACCAAACACTTGGAAAGGAAACCATGGAGAATTAACATGTTAGCAGCTATCACTGTGAACCCATGCAAAATTAGGGGATTGGTAAAATGATCATCTAAGCATTTAATCAGTGGCGGAACATTTCCTTTGCCTGCAGAAGATCTTAAGTGTAGCCCTTAGTATTTTTGTCTAATAAGGATCCCAAATCCCAGGGTGCAGAAAGAGGCTTTTTTTTTTTTTTTTTTTTTTGTCATGAGATAACAAACTTCTTCTAGTCTGTGTAGGCAACACTGGAATCAAGAGATCAATGGTCTGGCTCAATATAAGGCACATGTTCAAGTGGGGAAAAAAATGTTTCCTGATATTCTACCTCAGTCATAGCAATTACATAAGTTTTGTGGTAGCATCTGTTCTATCTAGAAAACACAGGCCACACTGTTTATGTGAATCTTATTCCCTGGCATTCAGTCATGCCAAAGGACAAGGATACGTTCTCCATTGAAGGAGATGCCACTAGATGTGGGATACAGCCTCAGCAATTTAGCAGTGTAGCAGAGGCCCTTATAGACAGAGAGGTGGGGAGCTGACTAGTGAGTAACAGAAAGGCAAACACGGGACTCTCCAAAGATGTAGAAAACCTGCTGAAGTTTATTCTTCCCTGTCTCTTGAGCAGGTCGACAGCAAAAACAGACTTTCTGGAGCCTCAGCAGTCCAAATCAAGAACTCAAAGTAACTCTCAAAATAAAATATCTAACCAAGGAAGTAAATGGGTCTGGCTGCAGTTGCTTGAGGCTTGTTCTCTTCCACTCACACAAACAGTCTCAATAAACCTTCCAGCCTCAGCTTTGAGCATATTGCCACTCCTTACTTGAGTAGTCTCTGGCCCCTCCTTCCCTCTGAGTAAGGCTCTGCAGCATGAGAAATCAGCTCTCTTCTCTGCTTGGGCAATGAGCTGAATCGTGGCCAGGCAGCACAGAAGCGTGTGGGTGTTTGTTCGTACAGGCCTGATAAGGGTATTCCAGCAGGTGCTTTCTCTGTAGGCTTCTCTTTGCTGCCGCCTCCCTCAACCTTTTTCTCCAACACCCATTTCTTCACAGCAGTCTTTGTGCTTAACAAGCCCCATGTCTGTGGGCACTCATTGTCTAATGCTGTGGTTACTCACAGGGAGCTGGTGTTTCCCCTTCACCACAAGCAGCCATCCTATAATGCTATTATAAACTAGGTCAGCCAACTAGGCTCTGTCATCCATGAGCCCAATAAGTACAGCAAAATGAAGATTCCCCTTAAGAGCTTCTGGAAGTAGAATCAAAGGCTGTAAAATTAAAAATCCTCTTCACCTATTAGCTTAATCTAACACAAAAATTACATGAGGGTTTCCAATGGCCTGTAGGTGTCTTGAGGAAAGAGTAAAGCAACCACAAAGAATTCTAAGATATAAGTAAGAGAATGTAGTTAAGGAAGTTTGGATATATTATCCTCTCACCTGACAGCAACATGTAGCCTTCTGAGGCAGAGGCAGGGGGGATACGAGGCTTGCATGCCTTTACTCCTTCAGCTATCTTCCTGCATTACAAAATAGTAAGGCAATACTATTAAGCCTATATGCCATTTCCCGTTGACTCTAAAATCTCAAAATTCAGACAGGCTCCTACCAAACACTTGGAAAGGAAACCAAGGAGAATTAACATGTTAACCGCCATCTCTGGGAGCACATGCAAGAAGGAATGAAGCTCTTCCACATGATGCCAGAGGCAAATAGACATTTATTTGTGTTTAACACTCTTTTCCAGATCTCCCTTCTTAAGCATCCTAGATAGAGTTTCAGTCATATGTACACTGATATGTACAGTGATAAGTAGATAAGTAGATATCACAATCACATGTATAGCATTTAACATATTATGTTAATATGCCGTCAACATCTTAGACCAAGCTAAATCCAAAAATGCCAGGGAATTCCTGGAAGCTTGGTATTCAGAC